CCCCCCCTCCCCCCCCCCCCCCCTCCCCTACCCCTCCCCTCCCCTCCCCTCCCCTCCCCTCGACCAGTCCCACCGCAGCTCCTCCGTCGACAAGGTCAGTTCCTTTTTCCTTTACGGGCTTCCATGTCGCTCGATCATGCCATTTCAATTGAACGTCCTTTGCAGAACAAATTATATAATTTAAAATATGCATACTTTAAAATATACATAATTTAAAATATATGTCAAAGGTTTGAAAATATTAGGCTACGTTTAATCGTTTTGTACTCGAAAAAAAAAATTTCTTGAGAAAAACGCTTGGAATTCGGACTGCATCGAACGAGAAGGAAAGCGTGAGAATTCAAATCATTTACGATAAAGTACAAAGTAATGATTTTTCAAAATGATTACGCACATGGGAATTCTTCGAATGAGAAAAAAATTTCCCCAATTTCCTCATGGTTTACTCGATTCATTTATTGGAGAGAGACGGAGGCGCAGTCATCCCATTTGCATTTCGAATGGAATATTTAAAAAATATTTAACCCTAACAATACTTTTTTTTTCCCACCTTTCACATTTGGACGAGAACAATAAATTTCCGTTTCACAAGTGGAAATTTATTTCAATCGCTTTAGGTGCCAAACTGGGAAAAGTCCTGTGGGGGGGGAGGGGGGGGGCGACATTCGTACCGTCGTTCTTTGGTTGGCCAAAGACTTTTCCTGGAAAAGTCTGGTCTAATGTGACCGCTGAATTGACACGTTTCATAATTGGAGGGAAAAAAATTATAAATAATATTTTCATATTCAGCGAAAAATGCTAACATCGAAATTCTCCTAAATGACGGCTTGAAAAGCGCGTCGAGGGAATGAGTCATCTGGATGAACTTATTCCGAATGTGACGAAGAAATGAGGCGATGAATGCTGGCACCATAAGGCGTTGTGCGGGAGTTACCATGCGGGAAGTCTATCCACATTAATATGCCCATTAGCACTAACAAGTCCATTAGCAACCAGGAAAAGAGCAAGGATTGCAATTTCGGCTGAGCCGATTACCTTGAATATCGTCTCCTCGCCGATCGCCGAAATGCCCGGGATCCACGCGGGTCCCCGCGATTCATTCGCGCCGTGCTGCGCGTCCTTCGCGCGGATCCATGAAGGCGATCTTCCCATCGTTGCGAGGACGAGGGACTTCCCCCGTGCTCCTTCTTCGAGATCACTAATTGGCTCTCATCTTCTTCTTTTTGCAGTATGCAATCGGCATCGAGTCTTTCTAATTAAAATCCAAGCAATGCTACACCTTCCACAGTAGGGGGGGAAGGGGGGGTTGGAGGAACGCTTTTCACTTCAAAGAATAAATATTCTCTTAAAAAACAGAAATTAAGAGGACATTCGTTGTCACAGATCCATCCCACACGTGGATCCATTTTGAAAGTGATACCATGAGAAGCGATCATCGGAGCTGAAATCCAGGATGAGGGACCCGGGACATGGACGGGGGTCGGCAAGTCTGAAGGCGATTCTAAGGGCAGTGAGTCCAGACCGATTTTATTCTATTTTTTTATTCTCGTTTCCGCTTAACTTTTTTTCTTCTCAAACTTCTCCCTGTTTTTATTTTATTTTTTCTCTCTCATATCTCGGGAGAATCATCCGTATGCTCTGCGACTGTTGCCATGGAGGATTCAGTTTCGTCTTTCAAAGTAATACGTCGTTCGAGAAACGCGAGCCAAAAGGCATTTCCGTTTCCGCATGTTTAAGGCTAGCATCAGCGTTGCGTGGGCAAAGGTTAAGAAAAGTGGAAACATTTCTCGGTTGACCCATCAGACAGTGATTCCAACGAGAAAAAGGGAGCTTGAACTCTTCTGAGTGGCTCCAGATTCATGAGTACTCGGAATGAAGAAAATTTGGTTACCAGGTGAGCTTCCTCGCGTTGTGTTCCCGCTCGCTCGGGACCGCGCAGCCGATGGACGCGAGAGAGAAGACGTTCGTCCTCGCCGAAGGCGTCAATGCGACTATCGTGGGTCCCCTCGTGAGCGTCCCCGGCTGGGACGCCGTCGCCTGCGCGGATTCGTGCGTCAGGTAAGCCCTCGAAGCGACGAACTCGGACGATTCATCTGCACCGTGCCGATTCGTTTCTGTCGACCGGAAGGAACGCGAACTGCTCGGTGTTTTCGATGGAGACTGGGCCCGGCGCCACGGTCTGCCAACTGGGGAGCGACGCCTCCACCTTCCTGGCGAATCCCGCCGGCATGTCTGCTGCTCTCTATTATGACAGTAAGCGCCTGGCAAGGCCGAAAACACACAAAATTCCTTGTAGTTTTACGTTTCGATTCGTCGCCACCGATCGATCTCGGTACGTGCGAAAAATATCCAAAAAGAGTCGTCGTCAACTTTTTCCCTAATACGACTTGATATGAAACACACAATGAATAGAAAGGCCCTCCTTCGCAGCTCAGTTCTTTGAAATAAGGTGGAAAAGCGATAACTGCAACCCAATTCTCTAATTTCGGCTTAGCCAATGCTATTCATTCTGGGCTGACTTAGCCCGAACGGCCTCGTATAATATTCAATACCAGTCTCTCCTTCTCAAGATTCTCAAGAGAAATAATGTTAGTTTTCTGTTTCGCGGTGGAGACGGTCGTCATTGTCGACCATCAAAATACGTTAAGGAATATTTAGCGATTGGGTCATGGATTAGAGGTATCATGAGATCACGTCGAGTTGGACATTTTGAACCGTGTAACCGACCCTTAGGACTTCGCATTCCCTGGTAGCACATAACATTGAATATATATTGTTTCAGTCTCATGTGCTACTAGTGCTGGTTGCTTCCTCCACGTTTCTCTCAGGGAACCTCGTCCCACCCGGTTACGAATTTGCGACGATCACGACCGAGATGCATTTCCTGAAGCCTGTGAGCGGGATGCAGGATTATCAGACCGGGTTGGCCGCATGCCAGACCGACGGCTCGACCACTCACCTCGTCCAGGACGACAAGGGCCTGGATTGGCACGACTTCATCTTGCAGTACGCCGCGTCGAAACTCGGAGCGAGTACCGTCTTCTGGTTGGGAGGCGACGACCTCGACGGGGATCTGGTCTACAAATGGAACGACGGTGAGGGCATTCGAACTTTGATACCGGAAGTGGAACGAGTGGATCCCGCATCCATCCCGGGATCGCATGTATCGTCATGTGCATGTTTCGTCCGTGTCGCAGGAACGGCGGTGTCGGCTTCGGTGCAGGACTTCTGGTATACCGGGCAGCCATCATATGGGTACGGAGAAACCTTGGAGCAATGCATGGTCATTCACTGGGAAAGCGAAGGCGTAGTCGACGAGTGGAACGACGGGGTCTGCTCCGAACTCAAGGGCGTCATCTGCGAGAAACGCCTGCCGTGATCCTCATCCAGATCATCTCGATGGCATTTCCTGCCACTTTGGCAGTCTCGAATGGCCTGCGATTTTCTTGCTGTAATCGTTTTTTCGCATCGTCCTGCACGTGAAGCAGCTTACACACACGTAACATTGAGAATACCGATCTACGCAGGATGGCACCGATTTCGCACACAAATTCGCGTTCACCTCGAGTTCATGATCTGCCACGTTTTGCTGTTAAAAGACCCACAGATTTCTGGATCAAGTGCTTTTGCAAGATTTTCTCTGCCAATTTTCATCCACGTTTCCTCTAAACGGGTGCAATTTCTTTCTAGTCTTTGTTGCGGGATTGGATATAGGAAAGCAACAATTAGCACAAATCTTGCTGAGTTTGCGGTCTGAAAACGAGATTGAGTAAATTCTCTAGTAGACATGTTGCACCAGAATTGCAATAAATGAGCATCTGCAGTCCATATTCTTTTGCGGTTTTTCACTTTTGGTCCATATGTCCATTTTGACTTTCCCATTCCTTCCTGTGCGGCCCCCCCCCCTCCCCCCAATCCTCGAAATTATTCCCCTCGTTACCTAAATTGGAGACGTTACTCCGTGATTATATTTTCGCTTTGATGATATACGTTTTTCTGACGGGCTTGTTAAACTCAAAAACACTAAGGCGACCGGCTCTCACACTCAAGAATACATAACACGTAGAGAACTAGTTCACTTTTTGAAAACCCTCGAACCTTTGGCACCAGGCGATGGAAGTGAATTTGATAAATGTATGAATTTCTCGCAAACTTTAACCCACCACAAATGCACGCCACACATTATCACACCGCTAGGTATTCGACGGATTCACCCTTCTCTCTTCCCGTCCAATTCTTTATGCTAATACTTCAGAAATGAGTTATTCCTTGAATCATATTTTGCAATAAAAACATCATAGTTCCACGCTTTCCTCGTATCGATTCATAAATTCGATAATAAAAATAGGGAAAACTTCGCATTTTAAAGGGAGCAGGGAACATAGGTACCATCTAGTGTGGACTCTTGGTACTGCACCGGGAACATGCTGCAGGGGAGGAGTGCCAGCTACATCACGGGAGGAGAGCTGTTGTCTCGCCAACAACTCCAAATAGCAGGCCATCGGTTGTTTGTCCTACTTGCCTCCACGATACCGCTTCTGCCAGTATAACGTTGGGACCGCCAATGGCCCATCACCTTTTTGCTACTTGGGACAGAAGCGGAGTGAAGTCAATCCTCATTTGCTCAAATTATTTCCCTCAATATGTACCAAACCTGTACTTAGGCACTCAGGCTAAACTCGCGTACGATAACACTTACCACGCGGGTTTCTTCATCTCATTTGTTTTAACGGGAACAATCATTACCGTGGCATAGACAATAAGTGTTCACTCTGTGGCCGATAAGCCGTCTTCATCAACTCAACTGGCCAGAGAACTCTAAACCTTGGTCTTGGTCGAGCGTTCGTGGCGTGAGGACGTGTTGGAGGATACTCTCCAGGTTCTGTCAGCTGGTTCTGTCGGCTAAGTCGTGAGTTAGTTGTTACCTGGCTACTTTTGTAGCAGTATTCATAAGTTTTCTGATAGCTATTAATACCTCCAACTTCACATTAGATCAGTATCAATCAGCTAAATTAATTTAATTATTAGCGTAGTACTCGTAGTATTCCTTTTACTACAAGGACTAGGACAGTAAAGTCTCACCGGGTTACAACTAGTGTGAAATACTGCAAAGTATAAGTCTAAAGCAGTAGGAGTGCCAATAGGGATCAATAACATTAAGTAAGACCGGTGCTAGGATCGAACACATTAGGGATAGGATCGGATCGGTGGTGTGCTCCGAGTCGGCCGAGGAAGTGTCGGTGGTCCTTCACGTAGGGACCAACGATACTCCCAACCCTTGCGTACTTTTCTGGACCTCAAACCTGAAAGTTGCTAGTAGCCATGCCACCTCTAATACAAAGAAACAGAAATTATAATTCAGCACCATACTGAAGTTCCATACATGTTCAAAGACACACGGAGACAAATTCCACAGGTTCTTCCCCGAAGCTCCTGGAGGTTTGACAGTATTTTATTATCCCATCTTCCTGTCACAGGTCTACCCAGAATTGAAGAATAATATAATTCTGAATAGGGTGTCAATTGCTGAAAACTTCATGTTATTCATGGAAGCATGTTTTAGTTCGGACTCATACAAATTTGGCGAAAAGCACCTTTGATGGTAAATTCGTATTTGGTGAAATCAAAAATAAGAATTTGGTGATTGACTCCAATTTGGAGAAGAGCTATTGTGATCTGGTGAAGGAGTCATTATTTCAGTAGACCTTCGTGACGAGTTCTTTTTTTCTATTATTGATGGGTGACATGTCCCTTGGAACACATGAGCCGCCATTCCCAGCAAAAAGTTCCGGCTGGAAATATTACTGGTTTTACCCGTGTGGGACACAGCTGACTTGACTTGGACTATCATCATAGTTAAACCCTAGTTGAAATATAGCAGAGTACTCTTGGGATCCCTAGCCAAAATCTAGGAGTTTGACAACACGTCAAGGGAGAGAGGATAGGGGTGAGGCTAAGGTAAGTTAAGGTGAGAGTAAGGCTACATTCCTTACACATCGCTGCAAAATCGCTACTATATGAATTACTTCATCGTGGGATATCATCAGCCTGACAAATTCAGCTCTTTTATTCAATTGGTCGCACGCACAAGTGGAAAGGATTGTAATGAAAACTAAACAGGCTTTCCGTAGGTGTATTTTTATTCTGGCCTTAGCTTTTACCTAGGCAGACATGGGACCAAAAGTCTTTTATTTACGCCTGCATATTTTTGCCCGCCCACTATAAAATGTGTTGCACTTATTGGAGGTATCTCTGTAATAGAGCTGCTATTATTTTTAATATCTGGGATAAGTCAGAATGTTTTCAGTCAACTTTCACAAAGGTATCGAGCTTCAACTGAAAGTGCAAATGCACCCTCCGGTATTTTATAAATGGTAAGAAGGAACATGTCTAATGATTTTCATAAATGCATCTGTGACCCTATGCAACCCTTGAACGACTGACCAATATTCGCAGTGTGATCTCTGCGTCGACTCTAATGAGAGATTGTCAATCGTAGGTTTTCTTCTGAACGTTTTCTTTCTCTGTTAAAACTTTTTCTTCGAAAAATCGCGCGCGCCACGCCAAAAATGCTCGTAGTTGCTTAGACGAGAATGAAAATTATTGAATGTCTGAATATCACATATTTCGGACAAAATATAGTGCATTCTAAGTAACCATCCAATAGTGGTGGTGGGTCTGTCCACGGTGTCGGATGTGACATCCGGAATAATATTTTTGTTATAAAAAATGTATTTAAAAATATTATGGCTGCCAAATCAGCATATAAATTCTGTAACAATTTGTTTTGGGTGGCGACTGAAAATTCCATAATCCAAGTCTTGCACTCTCTCTTATGTTAGAGGTGTACCTATGTGCAAAGAAAGTGTCGGACGTGACATTTCGTGAACCTCAAGTTTACGTCACTTACACTAATGTTCACATATCTGTCGTCGAGCGGATCCTAATAATTTAGTTTCATGTCCATTCTATAGATGGAATGAACGCCTGGAATTCGTGTAAGTCACCCCAAGATGAAAACAATTGAAACAGTGACGGTGTCGGATGTGACATGTTCTGAAAATGTATTTTGAAACGAGAAGTCTGTACATATATATTTATTTTATTTTAAAGGTCTCATTCAAATGTGAACAATTGACATCTACTCTTCACACCTGAGCTGATTTGAAATTATCAATATGCATGGAAAACCCATGCTGGCATGTCTTCCAGTAGTCTAATTCAGTCCCTCCAGATGTGCATATTCATCACATTTTTGAGTTTCATGAGAGTGGTATGAATAATATATCATAATTATGTATAATTCCTTCATTTTTCAATGTAATAGTCTCTTTCACTCATATCTTCTAGGAAAAGAGATGAACTTCTGTAGCGAAATTGAAATTTGCATATTTCGGAAAATTTCCACCTAAAATTCTAGGACCACTTGGCGTGGACAGGCCCTTGCATGTTCTTCGATTTTGGTTATATTCGGTTTAAGAATGAAGAGAAATCTTCAGGAGGTTTGTCCTCGTTCATCAGAGTTGTCACATAGGAATTGTAATTCCTGTTGTCAGTAACATCAAGAGCCTTGAGGTCGGGGGTATTTCCGGCCATTGGTATATGCTATAGTATCTAAAGACAAATAAACACAGACGAAAAACCTCATGCCACGAACCAACGGTTTCCAACATATGCTGCTTCGATGGGAAGGAAATAAAATCACTCCATATACCCAGACAGGTATTACTCACCGAATGTAGAAAAACTGAGTTCGAAATTAGTCCTAGAAAGTTCCCGATCAGTAGGTCCTTCATAGTTACGAAATTCTTTCCCAAAATTAATATTATTTGGCAATGCTCCATAAAAATGCCTCTTGGCAGGTTTACAGGCTACTAACATAAAATCAACATAGATGCACAATGTTTGGGCAATGTTTTGTAATCTTGTCTGTTAGCGAGGACTTCAAGGTTTGGTAGATAGGTAAGTCGAACACTTAAAAAAAAATTGCCCCGAGGAATCTCTTCATGAGAGAGAAGCTGCTCGAGTCCCTTATCGACCTCGCTCTGACGAATACAGTGATAACGTACACTGTTCTAATGTTTCGTACTTGTTATTTGTTGCTGTAACTACCCAACAGGACGTGGCATCTGAAATTCAATAACTACTTCTGATAGCAAAGATGGGTTCATCCTAGATTTCACGGTGCCAGAAGCCCTTAATTGCGAGATAAGTATTTTTCTGGTAACGTTGCTACAGGTGTAGCAACCCTAGTAGCAAATAGTATGGGATCAACATTGATTCAAGGTTGGTTGAACGTCCAGATGTTGAATCAACGTTAAATCAATGTAATGTGAAATCCACTTTCAAAGGGTTCACTTTCTTCAAGATTCAACCTATAATGACCCCCGTTGCCCAGATAATTTTTTTCTTACAATATTCTACAAATTTGATGTGTCTTTCATTGACAGTTACCCGCCTAGATCCAAAAACGATTATTCAGGTTTTGATTTGCTCTTGGAAAAAAAGGAAAACGAGCAAGTGGGTCCAGTAGACCCGCGTTTTTGGTTATGCTCCTTTCTAAATTCAAAATACCTTGCTGGTTTCTGCCAATCGATACAATTTCAGCATTGTATTTAAATCGTAGATTAAAACCATGAGGTGAACACGGAATTTTTTCAGGAACTGGCGAGAGCTATACCCTTCCATTTCTCGCAAGCCTTTAATCAGGTGCTAGTAC